ATTCACCACTGGTCTCGGTAAGTATATGGGCACACACACATATATACTTATACCATACACACATAACAGAGATGAGATAAGCCAGAAAAAGAATTTTCCAAGTTATCCCAAGGAATGAAGGGTGGGGAACCACTGAGCTTTTGAGTAGAGCAAGAAAGTAGTTTAGAACTGTGTTGTCTTTTATTGTTGTATTTTAAATACACTTTTATTAATTCTTCAGTAATTTCACAGAATTGTATTTTGATCACATTCATCCCAGCTCCTTCCCCCTAACTACTCCCAGATCCACCCTCACCTCTATACCCACATATTATTATTATTATTATTATTATTATTATTATTATTATTATTTAAAGGACCCATCAGCTACAACGGTGTTGCCGATGCACTCCTGGATGTGGGGCCAGCCACTGAAGCACAGTCTACTTATCAGGGACTATACCCTTAAAGAAAGCTGACTCACCCTTCCCCAGAAACCACCAACCATTCATAGCACCTTAGTTAGGGGTAGTGATTCATGAGCCTCTTCCCCCTCCATGCTAGAATGTTAACTCACTTGATCTTATGGATCTTAGGGGCAAATCCTTAGATCTGTATGTTTAATTTGGGGTGTCTGTAGAATCCAGAAATCCAAAAAGGAATCATTGATGGGGAGAACAATGAAATGGACTTATCTTTTAATTGTGTGTGTGTGTGTGTGTGTGTGTGTGTGTGTGTGTGTGTACCTGTGAGGCCAGAGGCATCAGCTCTCTTCCAAGCTGGTGTTACACATGTTTGTGAGCTGCCTGACATAGACAGAAATTAAACTTGGGTCCTCCCTCAAAAAAAACAGTCCATGCCATGATCTTAATCACTGAAACATCTCTCCAATCTTTAGAGCTATGCTTGAGAAAGTAAACTCTTGCAGCTGGATGGAGGAATAACTGGAAATAGAAGCAGAACATCTGCATCCGCTAGAAGGAACTCCGGTGGATTGTGAGAGGGAGAGGAGAGAAAGGCCTTGCAGTAAGGCAGTGTGAGGACAGTAAAGGGCGGGTACAACCAGAGACTTACCAAAGTGCAAGAAGATGAGAGGATGGGAGAGAAACAAGGAAAAGAATTTTCTTCAACACACTGAGCCAAAAGTGCAGTGAGGTGGCAGTTGGGAATCACCATTTTCATCATTAACCTAGTTCCATGCTATCTATCTTATTAAACTATATGAGTTTACAAAAAAAAAAAAAAAACTAATTAAAAGTCAGGATTCAGAACAGGAGAAAAGGGGGGCACTATTACCTCAAACAGGGTATAATAATAATATGGCATCATGAATTTGAATGAAATATTTTGATACCATTAAGTCACTCATATCCATGTCAAAACTCAAGAAAAGGTAAACATTGATCCAGACAAACAATGGAATCCTACTCAGAAAAAAAAGAGAGTTGAGCCATTGTAGGCACCAACATAATTACCCCAAGAAAAAGAAAGTAAACGAAACAGAAACTCAATGACTTTATTTTTACAAAGTCTGGAAAACAAAAGGGCGCTTAGAGCTACAGAAGAGGGACATATGGTCTTAGACATGTGGGGGAGCAGCTGGGTGAGGGATAATGTGTTATGTTGATGATGGTTACACAGGTTTTCACATATGCCTCAAAAAGGGGCGGAAAAATCTCAGGCAAAATATAAGGGGCTATTTGCTTTCCTTCTCTAGCCAATCTTATTTTAGGTAGAAGCTTCTCAGCTTTTTTTTTTCAGCTAAAATCTATTTTACAGCCACCCCTCTTCTTGCCCAAAAGCCCTAGTTATAAAAATAACAATAAGAAAACAAAACCACTTTCAAAAATTAAAAATCAATGTCATAAAATTGACAGCTTCTGGCCATCATAAACGAATCAATGTTGCTTTGATCAAATGGTAACTGCAGGGCAAAGCAAGGATGCTAAGGAAACACCCGATTTCCATTATCTAAGTTCTGAAGCAGTCAGTGGTTCCCTTAGCCCAATTCTCCCAACAGTTTTGTCCCTGAAGCCTCCCTGAGGTTTAGACATAACAGCATCAACCTAAAACCTCCCTCTATCATAATAAGCCTTAGACAAATCTATTAAAAGAATGACCTGGGGCCAGAGAAACTGCTCAGCAAGAAGGGCACTGGTTGCCTAGCCTGATGACCTACACTTGATGCCCTGAACACACATGGTAGGAGGAGATGATCAACAACGTTCAAGTTGTCTTCTGACATCCAATACTTGTGTTAGGGCAATTGTGAGCAAGCACACACATATGTGTACACACATACAAACACACATACATGGATGTATACTCGCACACACAGGCACATGCTAAAGTATTTTTAAAAACCCTACCAGAATGTTATCCTAAAGCAATTTTATCTCACAATTGATAAATTACTGACAATCACATGCAGGTCACACTATATGTTGATAACAAATATGTATGAAATAGTAACTTGCAAAAAGACAAGTCAGACAGCAACTGGAATCTTGAAGTCCAGGATATGTAAAATGTCTTTCTTACTAAGTTTCATGGAGACCACAGAGGCAATGGGTGATTCTTATCTCTCTGATCTGATGAGAAAAGCTCAGTTTCATATTCCTAACTAAGCCTTTCATCAGAATGGTTTTTCCCAAAGCTGGATGATCCAGCTTGTACTGTAATTGTTGCTTAAGGCAGAGGCAGGCAGATCTCTGTGAGTTTGAGGCCAGCTTGGTCTACACAGAGAAACCCTGTCACGAAAATTCAAGAAAAAAAATGCATAAAAAATCTGGGCTGCAGCACAGGAAGATTTGGTGGACTTGGTGGAGCCCCAGTTGGGGGCTCTACCCTGCCCTCCCCTGCCGGGGGAGGGGTGGGTGGATGGGGTGGGGGGTAGGTTGGAGGTGGGGGAGAAGGAATGGGGGTGAGGGGAGGGAGAGGGAGAGGGAATTACATGTGAAACAAGCCTGTTCCCTAACTTGAATTAATAATAATAATAATAAAAAGAGAGAAAAAAAATCTGGGCTGGGCGTTGGTGGCACACGTCTTTAATCCCAGCACTCCGGAGGCAGAGGCAGGCGGATCTCTGTGAGTTTGAGACCAGCCTGGTCTACAAGAGCTAGTTCCAGGACAGCCTCCAAAGCCACAGAGAAACTCTGTCTCGAAAAACCAAAAAAAAAAAAAAAAAAAATCTGAATTTTGGTAGGACTCATGAGACAGACCAGTGGAATACTTTGCAATAGAGCTGTACCATCAGGACAAGGACACTAGATTATTGGGAGTGACTGATGAATGCTAATAAGACATAGACACATGTACTCTGGATAGTGAAATACTTAGTTTTCCTACTACAAGGTTCTCAGGTTCCTCATTTCTAGAAAACCCCACTGGTTGCTGGGTGCCCTGTCAGGAGTGAATTTGGATTTCTAGAGACAGCATTCCTGTGCCCATAGGAACATTATACATTATCTAGACTAACATTATGTGACTAAGATGTGGAGAAACCAAGCATGGGAATATCAGTCTAAGGCTTCCCATAGCACAACCAAATAAGGGTATGTATCATCTCCTCCTGGGAAACTATTGAAATGACTGTGTCCTGGTTAGTGTTAATTGCCAACTTGATACAACCTAGAATTATCTAGAAAGGCAATCTCAGTTGAGGAGCTGCCTGGATCAGATGGACCTACGGGCATGTCTGTAGGGTATTGTCTTGATTGTTAATTGGTGTAGGTCTCAACCCACTGTGGTCTAGAAAAATTACAAGAAAGTTAGCTGAGCATAAACCTGCCTGCCTTCCAGCCAGCATCTCCCTCCATGCTTTGTGCCTTGCATCTTTGGCTGTGAAGTGAGTTCTTTGGTTAGGAGGTGTTGCTGTAGACTAGCAAGCAGGACTGTCTTCAAGGTCCTGACTTGACTTCCCTTAGTAATGGATGGTGACCTTGAATTGGAAGCCAAGTAAACCCTTTCTTCTCTAAGTTGGTCATAATTTCTTATTACAGCAACAAACATGAAACTAGAACAAACCACAAATTTTTAAATCATTTTTAGGACGACAACAAAAACTTACAAATAAGTTGATACTTGTTCAAAAATTTAAGAATACAATCTATCCCTATTAAGCTTCTAGAATGGATTTAAGCAGGGTTTCTCCCACTTTTAATTTAAGCAGGGTTTCCCCCACTTTTAGTGTTGCATACTCTAATTGCTTGTTTTAACTACACAAAAAACGTTATCCTAAACTATGGATGGCCGTTGGGTACCCAGTGGCCTGAACCCTTCCACTGCCAGTCATTCACTGTTAAGTTACCACTGGCTTTTCCATAGCAACAGGTATAGATTACTTTAAAATATGAAATACTCCGAATCAAAACAACTCATTCATGGTATTACCAAGAATTATGACTTGAAATAGAAAGGCCTGGGATTGAATAGAAAAATACAGCATGAATATCTCTGAAGCCAGAGAGGCTGTCTTGATAGTGAGGCACTGAGGAGACTTCCTCTCTGTAATCTATTCATTTCCATAAGAGGAAAACATCTCCATAAATTTAAAACAGTTGCCTTATATAAATGTGCACGGTGTCTTTTCCCCTGTAAATACTCAGGAGTCTGCAGGTGGAGAGGGACCTCAGGGATTTGATGCATTTGCAGCTCTTAGAGAGAACAGTTGTTCAGTTCCAAGCACCCACACAGTGGCTCACAACGACGGGAAACTCTAGTTCTAGGACTCAACGCCCTCTTTTAGGCTCTAGGGGCACTGTACTCATGCGCAAATACCCACACAAGGGCACACAGATACACACAATCAAAAATAATGAAAGCAAATCTTTTTAAAAATGCTCCGGAGTCTTAAGTCACAAATGAGGTTAGAAGGCAGTGCTACAGGATAGGGCTCAGGAGCACCACGGACATCCTTCACAGAGCACAGAGCCCACGAGGAGGCGGGGACCCTCTTATCCGGAAACCGCTCCCCGCACGTGCTCCCGGGGCCGAGGACCCGCAATCCCCTGGAGCCTTACGTGTCACTGCTGGCTGAGGAGCGGGAGTCCAAGCCGCTGGCCTCGGCGTCGCAGTCGCCCTCCTCCTCTTCCTCCTGTGAGGACATGTCTCCGGGGAACTCGGCAGGGCGCCCATGCGAGTCTCGCCACGCGGGGCCCGACATCGTCACAACCGCGAGAGCTCCGGGTGGAGACACTCAGACCCCAGAGCCAGCCATCCACACCTCCAGCCGCGCCGCCATTTTGCCAAGCGGCACCACGTGACCCCGAGGCTCAGCTGCGATTGGATGAAGCGCTGGTTGCCCGGGAGACAGAGAAGCTTCCCGGCGAAGACGTGGAGCATTGAAGAGAGCCAATGAGTGCTGTTTCCACAGGCTATGCAAACTTCGCTGCTCCAAGCAGCCAGTAAAGCAGACATTCTTTTTTCCCTTTTCTTTTTTTTTCTTTCCAGGCTGAGTATCTTACAGTTGGTACTTTGTCCTATTTTCTTTTTTCTATTTTTTTGTCTTTTTAAATTGTGATCCAAAACGATGGGTTCCATTTGGCCAGGTTTTTTGTTGTTGTTTTGACAGAGATAAAGAGCCTTTGCATTCATGCACCCCTAGGTGCCAATGCAAATATCTCAGTTCTTTCTTTCTTAAAAAATATTTTTATCTGTAACTTGTGAATACTTAAATCAAGTATTTTTAAGGTACATAAAAGTGATCACTGAGTCATACATCTCCCATTCAATTACATTCATTCTCAAGTCATACACCATACTAAGTATTTGCATACAGCAAAGTAAATAGTCCTCTATAATTAAGTAAAAAAAAAAAAACTGAGACTTAGTGAGAGAAGAATGGTTATGTATCTAGTAGGCAACAAAGTCAACGAAGAAGAAGAAGAAGAAGAAGAAGAAGAAGAAGAAGAAGAAGAAGAAGAAGAAGAAGAAGAAAGTTGTTTAGTCATTACAGTGCACTTCATATTCTCCTCAGGAGCCACTTTCTCCATTTATCTATGGTTTCATTTTCCAAGATCGGCCAAGGAGAGAAAGTATTATGTGATAAGCTCTAGAAGTGAACAACATGTTCTGGACTGCACATCACTCTGGGCCATGGTGCAATCTCACACAGTCTTGCTCCACTCACTTGGTAGTAAAACCTTCTTTTTGTTCGGTGTATACACATTGAATATGCAATTCACCAGTTAGTTCCTTCTAGTAGTTGACTTGTTAGAAGGCAAGCCATCAAGGTGTCAGTATCATACTAATGTATTCAAGTAGGATGACCAACACTAGATCACAACGCCTGAATCATTCACCTTATATCACTCTGCACCTAGAAAAAAAATTCTTGTTTTTCTTCTCCTAATATCATACCACAATCAACAAAGAAGATACCTGTGAACCCCCAAAGGGTATGGGGACTTCTTCCCACAGCAAGAAAGCAGTGGACATCAGCACTGTCTATCCAATCCAATAATTTTGACACTGGCTGGAGATGCTCAAACCCCACATGTTGAAGGATCATTCCTCAAGACTGCCATCCCAGCCACACACTTTAAGATGGCAGTTACAAGCCCCAGCTTGTTTTTACTTGTCCTCTGCCTACAACAAGAGGTTCCCATAACTCTCTCCTTGAATTTGACTGGTCTTCTTGAGTGGCTCACAGATTCAGGGAAGTTTTTATAGTTACCATTTTATTATACACCATTACAAAGAATATAGATGAAAAGATCCACAGGTCTGGGAGAAGGGTTGCAGAATTCCGGTGACTTCATTCACTGTTCACTCTCTGAGAGCCTTCCTATGCTCATCAATCTGAAGGTTCTCTGAACATCATTTTTCTGGTTCTTATGGAAATGTAATCATGTAGGCCAGGTTGCTAACAGTCTGTACAAAAGACTCGGTAATGCTTGGGTGTATCTATTCTTTTGCATTTCTTTCTCCTAGAATGGGGCAGGACCCCTCTGGAATAACAAGTGTCGTATGACCTACTGTCAGACAGGGGTAGGTCACTGTAATAAAGAGACTCTCTATAATAATTATATTTCTGACAAAACATGTATACTTTTCCATCTTTATAATCCCAATAAATTTTACCTAAGATTTCATTCCAAAATAAAAAGTACTTTAGGCATTTAGTCAGCCATTTCTTTGTTTATTTGTTTGTTTGAGACAGAGGCTTATTGTGCAACTGTGTGGCTGGTCTGGAACACACTATGTAGAACAGGAGGATCTTATACTCATAGAGATTGGCCTGCTTCTGTCTTCCAATTTCTGTGCCTGGTGCATTTCTTCATTTTTAAAGCAACCTATTAGAAGTTTCTAAAAAATGTAAATGGCAATTCAAAATATCTTATGTTATGTATATGGATGTTTTGCCTGCATAAATACGTGTTTACTATGTGTATGCCTGGAGTCCTCAGAAGCCAGAAAAAGGTCACAGATCCCTGGAACTTGAGTTCCAGACAGTTGTGAGCTGCCATCTAGGTGCTGAGAATCTAACCAAGATAGATTCTCTAGAAGAGCAGCAAGAGCTCTCAGCCACCATCTCTCCAGCCCTATAAAAGACCGTTTCATTAGCAAAATATCCAGTTTTCTCCATCCCCCAAGTAATAGTCTTTAATTTCTATGGGCATCTATTAAGCTTACATTGTGCTCATAAACCTCCAGTGTTACTTCACTAGAGAATAGAGTCCAAGTTCTATATACAGTCTTTAAAGTGTTTTTTCCCAGTTCAGGCTGGTGATGCAGCTCACTTGGTGGAGGGCTTATGTAGCATGCAGGAAGCCAGGAGTCAACCCCAGCATTATGTAAACCAGCCCAGGGTGGTGCACATCTGTAATCCCATCACTAGGGAGATGGAGGCAAGAGGAGCAAAAGTTCAAGGTCATCTTGACTACATAGAGAGGTACACTGTCTTAAATTTTTTTCATAAATCAAATAACTGAGTATCAATTAGGAGTTAGATCCTTAATTTCTGTTCTATATTAACCAAATTAAGGAAGTGTGTCCAGTATGTTTAATCAAAAGGAATCACTCACAGCTTACTAAATGTACAGTTTTTGAGACCTCTCCCCACATCGATAGGATCAGAATCTGTAGAGGAGAAGCCTAGAAATCTCTGCTGTTGTTAAGATTTTTTTTTCTTCCTTATGTATATGGATGTGTTGCTTGTATGCAAATATGTATGTCTGGTATCTGAGGAGGTCAGAAGAGGGCGTTGGATCCCCCATTACTGAAGTTACTGACAGTTGTAGGCCACTATGTGGGTGCTGGGAATAAACTGGATCTTCTGCAAAAACAAGTATTCTAAACCATGAGCCATCTCTCCAACTCCCAGATCTCTGTTTTAAATGAGGGCCCCGGATGGTTCTGAAGTCTTGGGAAATGATGCCCTAAGCTTTGCCCCAGCCTTATGTTTCCTTGTGACAGAATGGCTGGCACTTTTGAATACTCTTCCACTACTCCTGCTGGATGAATTTGAGCCTGGCTGACCGGCTCTGAATCTCTCCACAGAACCACATCTATACAATCCCAGCACAACAATCTCTTCAAGCTTCATTTCCCAGTTGTCTAAATTCACACAGTGGTATCCACTGCACAGGACTGTTTGGAGTATAGAGAATCAGTGCATGGGAAATACCTAGTGCAAGCAGTTTTAGTAGACTGAGCCACTCTGCAGACTTATGAAGCTCTCTTGATGCTTCTACATAATGTATTTGTTCAAATACAGTACAACTTTTCCCCTTAAGACACAATAACTCTCTTTTAAAAGCCTTCCAGACATATCCACTTGAGTAAGAAGTCCTTCTTCCATCTTGTCTCAATCAAATATGCCAGGTATATACATATATATGTATGTGTAGGTATATGCATATGCATAAATGCCACCAAATGACAGTCTCCTGGAGACATGATGAGATGACTGGCTGTTTCTTCTTTAAACTTCTCTCCTTTCACAAACTTGAATAACAGGAAAAAAAAAGAAGATGAAGAAAGGAAAAAAAGAAAAGAAAAAAGACCCCTATAAAATTATATTGTCTAAGAAAGATTCCTTGAACAAGATACTCCATATTTCAGCTTTCTGGGCTAATTAAGTTCCATCTGTTAGTTTAATATGAAAGAGAGAAAGAGAGAGAGAGACAGAGAGAGAGAAAAACTACCTTGCTTGATCCCACATTCTATAACAACAATTATTTTTATTCCTAATTTAACTTATGGAATGTGGTATTAGCAAATTGTATTTCTGACTTTATTAATTTTTAATATTCTTGTATATGTTGGGAAAGGATGGAGAAAAAAAAAGAAAATGCCATCTGGACCTTGTGAAAATACTCTGTTAGTCCAAGGCTTAATAATGAGAAATCACAAGAAAACTTTAAAGATTTAGACTGGGGTACATTCTCATTTTCTACTTTTGACTACATAAAAATTGAAGCGCAAAAATGTTTAGTTTAATGTGTAGGAGACACAAGGTCCCAATTTCCATAGATTACATCTCAATTAGGCAAACAATACAATTCAGACATAAAATACGCCAGATAAGATCATAATTAAATATTTACTAGAGTTAGCAGGCTCAAAGGCTCTTTATTTAGAAGCAGGAGAAGCTAGCAATGAAGGATAAATGAAAACAGGGCCATGGGAGATGATGTTTATTTAAACCGTGGGGCAAAAATTTATGTAATGGAGCTTTGTCAGAAACCAATCAATATCGCCTTAAGTGAGAACACAGAATAATACTTTATGAAATAAACAATAATAGTTTTAAAAAACTATTTTAAAGTAATTATTTTTTAAAAATTATGGTAGACCAATAAATACCATTTAAAATACTGTGACTTTCTAACATGGAGTTTTCCAAAGTTGAAGATAGAATCACAATATGTAAAAGTCACTCTGCAATACTAAATTTATGTAATGAAGTTACGGTCTGAAATTTTAGTTTTCTCGTGTGAAAATGGAATCGCTTGTTCACATGTACAGGACTTAATGTTATAAGACCATTTAGATGAGAATAGAACATAGAGGAGGCTCCAGGAGCAGGCCCAGGCTGGGGTAACTCAGTGGCAAAGTGCTTCTTTAACATGCATACCACTGTAGGGTCAGTCCTCACTTCTCCAGAAACCAAATGGTGGGTATTTGCCAACCAGAAGAGGCCCCTATGCCTAGCCTGGGAAATTACTGATGGCCCATTATCTACTAAAGAGAAAAGGAAGAAACAAAGAGCAGACACAGGAGTTAGGAGAAAATGACCACATATGAATGCTGAAAGCG